ATTTCAGCTTCACAAGGAGTAAAAGATGCACGTTATAAGATCGTGAAAACAATGTTCAGATGCCATTAAATTGTTTATCTGAAATATCAAGTATGGGACTATTTGTTATTGCTTTAAATATTTGAACACAGACAGAAATCACCCACCAGCCTTCCTAGGGACCAGCAGAAGTCCAAGGATAGATTAGAACATCTATTTCTGTATTAATCCTTGATTAATCTTGGTTTCACAACAGCGACAAACCCTACTTCAGAGCCTAGACATAACAAGAAAACTACAAGTACATGTTAAAATATAATGCAAAATCAAAAATCCCAAATGCAGGTGAAGTGGGAAGCAAAATATATTTGTTTTCTTCTTTTTGTGTAGTCTTAGGGATAGGCCAGTAGTTTGGGTTCCTTATGTTGAGCTGTTGAGCAGCGATGTAAATGAGATTTGTTATTGTATGTAGCTAACAAATATTGTGCAGAGATCTGGAAGAATCTGCTGTGCTTTCCCCATGAGCACTTGAAAGTGAAAAATGGAAGTTTGTACTGCCCACTTCTGGACTCAAACAGTAACTAATCAACTAGAGCCTTGGTATTTCCTAGGGACATGAATCCATGGGATATCACAGAATTCTCCTGATCCCGTGAGTGTGTCCTGTGAGGTGCTGTGTAAATCACCTGAAAAAGTACAAAAATATTGCCAGCAACACTGCAGAAAGCTTGCAGGAAATGCAAACAGCAGGGAAGGGTGTAAAATCCCATCTGCCCGTTTCTGTGCCTGATTTTATTTATGGGCTGAGGGTGCCCTGCTTGCTGCCATGGCCACAGTGCACAGCTCCATCTCTCCTGTCTCCTTCTCTGGCCTCAGGCCCAGTTCCTTGGAGCACCCCATGGGGGAGAATCCAGGCAGTGAGAGAGACAAAGAGCCCAAACTCCTGGGCTCAGACTCAGACAGGTCCATGGGGGAAGGAAAAGCTGTGCAAGGAAGCAAAACCAGGAATTCATTCCCTGCTTCCCACGGGCAGGTGGGTGTTCATCCGTGCCCAGGTGAGCAGGGCTCCAGCCCAGGCAATGGTGACCTGGGGACACAAATGCCATCACTGCCAGCATCCCCCCCTTTCTGCTTCTTCCCCCTCTTTCCAGACTGATTCTTCTTCCACATGGTCTGGGAATGCCCTGGGGTCAAGTCAGGTCACTGTCCCAGCTGCGTCTCTGCCCCTTTCTGGTGCTCCCCAAGCCCTCGCTGCCAGGGCAGGATGAGGAACAGGAAAGGCCTCGGCTCTGGGCAGGAACAAAACCCTCCTGGAACCTTCCCTCTGTTTCCAGGCCAAATCCAAGCCCTGCCCCAGAGAAGCCCCTGGAAGGAAGTTCAGTCTCCCCAGCCCAAAGCAGTCCCCAGTGCCCATCCCCAGCACCAGGCACTGCCTTCCCCAGGGCGTCTCCTCTAGGAAAGGGATGGCTCAGCGAGCACCAGGCCGATGGCGATTGCAGCTCGGGGGGAAAACAGGCGGGAGGGGATCCCTGCTTGGAGTTCCAGGGGTGCTTTATGGGCCAACACACCCGAGGGGTCCAGGCACCAAGAACCAAGAACAAAGCAGGGTCCAGGCTTTTATATGGGACAAGGGAGGTGGAGCTTTGGTGTCGCCATGATATTTTCTGAAACTGAGAAGCTGAGAAGCCTCACAGGAAAAGAAAAACAAGAATTACCTGCTGCTGTGGAATGCAACAGGTGCATCTTTGATTGGTCCATGTTGGTTGTTTCTAATTAATGGCAAATCACAGTCAGCTGGCCCGGACTCTCTGAGAGTCATGAGCTTTTGTAATCATTCTTTTCTATTCCCTGCTTGCCTTCTAATGAAATCCTCTCTTCAATTCTTTTAGTATAGTTTTAATATATCATTTTCTTTTAAGATAATATATATCATCAATAATAAATCAGCCTTCTGAAACATGGAGTCAAGATTCTCGTCTCTTCCCTCGTCCTGGGACCCCTGCAAACACCAGCGCACTTTGGGCCTGAGGGCCAATGGGCAGAGGGAACAAGGGTGGTGCAAAGGCGGGACAAAAGGGCAACAACCAACTGGGATTCAGGGGAGGAGCTGCAGGCAACGGGAACCAATAGGAAAGCGGGAGTGGGGAATGTTCTAGAACTGGGGAGGAGAACAAGGATGATGTAACTTGGGTCATCAACATGTAAGGGACACGATGCCACCAGGACACACACCAGGGGACAATGTCACCACACCTGTGGGGACGCTGCCACCAGGACGCCTCCAGTGACACCCAGCATGGGCCCACATGGCCCCTGTGGGTGACACTGACCCTTGCCCTGTCCCCAGGGGCGGTTGGGGTCCCCTGAGCGCGGTGGCCCTGGGACACCCTGGTGGCTGTCACTCTCTCCTGGGCCACTTGTCACCAGCTGAACAAGTTCCCATCCTGCCCTGGTGGGTGGTGACATTCAGCTGGGACACCACAATGGTGGCAGGGGGGACGTGGTGGCAGGAACTGCATCAGGCAGCGCCATGGCAGAGATGAAGGTGCTGGTGGCACTGTGGTGGCACAGGTGGTGGCCTTGATGCTGTCCCTGTTCATGTCCCCATACATGATCATGTCCTCCCATGTCACCCTCCATGGCTGTGTCCCCCCATGTCCCTGTCCATGGCCACTTCCAACTCAGGTCCCCACCCAGGGCTGTGTCCCCACGTGTGCCCATCCAAGCCTTAGTTCAATGTCTTGATTTTTACCCCAATTTCAGGGCTTTCAAAGGTATGAACAGAAACCTTTGTGTTTGAAGGCAAAACCAAAAGGATTTATGGGTCCCTGCCAGAAGAGCATCCATGTGCTTGGGTGGGTGGGAAGAACCTTTTTTGGAGGGGTTTCCATTCCCACTGTCTCCAAAATCATGGGTTTTGCCCCAGTCTGACCCGATTTGGTTGTAGAAGATGCCTGTGGGGCAGAGAGAATTAAAATGATGGATTGGTATTGGAGAAGACCTCCAAGGCCATCCAGTGTTACTTGATGCCACCAGGAAGACGCAAGAAGTGAGATTTTTCTGGGGTCAGAAGTCGACAAACCTGCTCCATGTCGCTATAGGACATGAAACAACACGAGCACACACACCACTGTTCTCAAGGGGAAAAAAGGGAAGTTTATTTCCAGATTCCAACATTTATAGTTTTCCAAAAGTGACAGTGGATTGGAGGGTGACAGTGCCACCTCTCCAATGACACTGGACAAACCAACAGTCCATCAAATTTCTTCTCCTCCATAAAAGAATGCAAAACAATAAGTTATTTACAGGAAGTATGTGAAAAAGTTTGCTACAAGAATGTAAACATCAGAAGGCTTAGAAAAATCTTCAAAAGTCAGGGCGACAGCTCTCCACAATGGATTTCTGATGTTGGTCTGTGGGTGTGTCCAGGTGCTCACGGGGAGCCAGGAGCCAGCCAGGTGTCTTCCTAACACAAATCAGCAGCACCACGGATCACCAGGGCTCTGCCCAACGGGGTCACTGGGGATCATCCAGTGCTGATCCTCCAATAAGGGATGGAGCTGTGGAGCTGGAGCAGCACACAAAGCTCTTCCCGCCCTGGGAGCACTCCCACAGCTTCCCTCAGTGCTGGATGAAGCGGTCCAGCTGGAGAAAGATTGATTGATTGTCCTTCTCGGACGTCCTGGCCGGCTGTCCAGCACCGCTAGCAGTAGGGGGGCACTATCCCGATCTCCGTGGTTCGGGACAGCACCTAAGGCAAACGCTCTGTGCCGTGACAGCAGTGTTACCTTGTGGCAGGACGTGGCTTGGCTTATGGCTACAGTCAGCAGAAATGAGAGAGCACTCTCCAGCTGTGGTGAATCCAGGTTTATTGGGTCCCAGGGGAAACCGACAACCAAAGAGAGCCAGGGGGAAGTTGCAACAGCTTATAAGGAGGGAGGGACACAGGGGAGGAGTCAGTCCTTGGACGAATAGGGTTTCAGAGGGGAGTGGGATACAAAAGATTGACTTAGGGAAAACCCCAATGGGGATAACTTGAGGGTGGGGCCCCGGCCCCTGAGCCAATCACTCGACGCTCCAGCTGAAAGTTTCTAGAGAGTTCTAGAGAGAAGGGTGGGAGCGCCGAGTGACGGACAGGGCACCGGGGAGGGATTTGAGAAAGGGTACATTAATCTCCAAGGCAACTGGGGAGGAGTTGGGTAACTGGCAGCATAAAGGAGGAAAGGGAGAACCAGGGCAGAACCACTGCATGATAGGGGGAACAGAACAGTCCAACTTATACAGACAACACAACAGCTGGATGCGTTGGTGTTGGGTCAAGGCTGACCTCTGGGAGAAGCTCTTCCCACAGCAGGCACACTCATAGGGCCTCTCCCCGCTGTGGATGCGCTGGTGGGCACTCAGGTGGGAGCTCGTCCTGAAGCTCTTCCCACACTCCGCACACTCGCAGGGCCGTTCCCCCCGTGTGGCTCCTCTGGTGGGCAGTCACTTCATAGCTGGTCTTGAAGCTCTTCCCACACCTGGGACACTCGTAGGGCCTCTCCCCGGAGTGGATGAGCTGGTGCCTGAGGAGGCTGCACTTGTCCCTGAAGCCCTTCCCGCAGTCGGGGCATCGGAAGGGCCTCTCCTCTGTGTGAGTGCGCTGGTGATGGAGGAGATTGGAGCTGATCTGAAACCTCTTGCTGCATTCATCACACTCGTAGGGCCGTTCCCCGTGTGGCTCCTCTGGTGGAAAATCAGGCTGGATCTGGCTCTGAAGCTCTTCCCACACTCAGGACATCCGTAGGGCCTCTCCCGGTGTGTACGCGCTGGTGGTGGATCAGGTTGGAGTTGTGGCTGAAGCTCTTCCCACACTGCCCACACTCATAGGGCCTCTCCCTGGTGTGGATTCCCATGTGGGAGTTCAGGCGGGAGCTCCACCTGAAGCTCTTCCCACACTGCCCACACTCATAGGGCCTCTCCCTGGTGTGGATTCCCATGTGGGAGTTCAGGTGGGAGCTCCACCTGAAGCTCTTCCCACACTGCCCACACTCATAGGGCCCTTCCTCTGTGTGGATTCTCCAATGGTTGATCAGGGACGATCTCCACCTGAAGCTCTTCCCACATTCCGAGCACTTGTGGGGCTTCTCCCCATCCTGAAGCTGCTCAGGGACCCCCAACTCTGACCTGTGGTCACCTTCCCAGCCCAAGGTTGGTCTTTCCTCCTCGGATCCCCGTGATCTGCGTTTGCAGCCCCTCCTTGTGTGGGATCTCGGGGACTTTTCCTCCCCGTTGGATTCCTGTGCCCTGGAGCCACTCCAAACGGCCTCAGCCACCAGGTTCTGCTGTGGGGATTTGTCCTCCCTGCTCTCCATGCTCAGCTCCTTCCCTGGGGGAGGAAGGACAAGGAGAGGATGGGATTTGCCTCCGTGCCACAGGGAAGGGGAAGGAGATCCCCCCAGTGCATCCCTGGCTGGACAGCATCAGCAGTGGGGCTGTCGTGCAGCCGGGGGCCGTGCTGGGCTGGGAGATGGAGCAGGACAGAGGGGGAAAGGGGCACTGACTTCCTCCTCACCTGCCTGGGTGTCCTGGGGCATCTTCTTCCTCCTTGCAGCCTCCTCCTCCACCTGGCCAAGGTTTGGGAATGGGAAATCCTGGTTTGGGGGGCAAAACAAGGGCTGAGCGTGTCGGGTTTGATGGTCCCGGTGCCCAAGTGCAGCTGGAGAAGTCAGCGCCCCTTTCAGCCTCGGGGGGCCCGGACCCCGCTCATCCCCAGCCTCCCCCACCCCTCCAGGCTGCCGGGGGTCCCTCTGCACCGGGATCGCCCCTCTCCGCCATGGATTTGGGGCGACTCCCCCTCCCCGCCCACCTGCGGCTTCCGGAGGGGGCGGAACCGGGGCAGCCGCGGCCCGAGCGGGGGAACCGCGTGGGGTTGGTGCTGCGGCTCCTCCTCCCGCTGCTCCTCTTCCTCCTCCTCTGGCCCTCCTCTTCCTCTTCTTCCCGCTCCTCTCTCTCTCTTTCCCTTTCCTTTTCCTCCTCCTCTGTCCCTCCTCTCCCTCCCGCTCCTCCTCCGCTCCCAGCCCGGCCCGGGCAGTGCCGGCACCCAAAAGCAGCTGCGCTCTGCCCTGGGGGGTTCCAAAGCGGCCCCGCCACGCCCGGCACTGGGAGCGATACTGGGAGCACTGGGAACGATGGTGAGAGCAGCGGGTGGGAACTGGGAGCGCTCTCCCTGCCGGTCCCGCTCTTACTGGGAGCACTGGGAGGGAACTGGGAGCAAACAGCGCCCGGACGCGGCTGCAGCCGGCGGGGGCGGGGCCTAAGCTGAGGGCGTGGTTATGCAAATCAGGGAGCGATCGGGCGCTGGGATTGGTGGGCGGGAGCAGGGCGGGATTTGCACGGTCACGTGAGGGCCGAGGGGAGCCGGAGCGATGGCGGCGGCGTCCGGGGAGAGGGAACCGGGAATGGGGACAGGGAATGGGGAGTGGGGACAGGGAATGGGAATGGGGAATGGGGAATGGGGAATGGGGACGGGGAATGGGGAATGGGGACGGGGAATGGGGGATGGGGACAGGGAATGGGAATGGGACAGGGAATGGGAATGGGGGACAGGGAATGAGGATGGGGACAGGGAATGGGAATGGGAATGGGGACCGGGGATGGGAGATGGGGAATGGGGAATGGGAATGGGGACCGGGAATGGGGAATAGGAATGGGAATGGGGACAGGGAATGGGGTATGGGGACAGGGAATGGGGATGGGGGATGGGGACAGGGAATAGGGAATGGGGACGGGGAATGGGGACAGGGAATGGGAATGGGGATGGGAGATGGGGAATGGGGACCGGGAATGGGGAATGGGGACAGGGAATGGGGAATGGAATGGGGACAGGGAATGGGAATGGGAATGGGAATGGGGACCGGGAATGGGGACAGGGAATGGCAATGAGGAATGGGAACGGGGACAGGGACAGGGACTGGGGATGGGGACAGGGAATCGGGAATGGGGGATGGGGACAAGGAATGGGGGATGGGGACAGGGAATACGGAATGGGGACAGGGAATGGGGATGGGAGATGGGGGGTGGGGAATGGGGATGGGAGATGGGGAATGGGGAATGGGAGTGGGGACCGGGAGTGCGGAATGGGGAATAGGAATGGGGACGGGGAATGGGAATGGGGACCGGGAATGAGGAATGGGAATGGGGACAGGGACAGGGAATGGGGGATGGGGACAGGGAATGGGGAATGGGGACGGGGACAGGGACGGGGAATGGGGAATGGGGACAGGGAATGGGGTCCATACTGGGAATGGAGCAGGACGGGACTGGGAGTGGGGTGACACGGGAATGGGTGGAGGAAAGGGGAGTGACAGCAGGGAGGGGGGTATCCGCTACAGGGGACACCAGGAAGCGGGACAAGGGGACACACGGACAGTTCTAGGCCAGGAGGTCCTTGATCAGCAGCCCCAGAATCTCCACCAGCATCTTCCAAAGCACCCGGAGCCGCTTGGCCTCGTGTCCCCAAAGCCCTGAGCAAGCCCCAAGTCCTTCCCAGGAACTCTCAGCTCCCTCGGACCCAGCATCCCCCACACCTCTGGAACAGCCCCCCACTTCTCAAGCCCCATCTTAGTTCAACATCTTTATTTTTACCCAGGTTTTGAGTGTTTGGAAAGAATGAAGAAATGTGAAAAGAAGACCCAGGCCATGAGGAGCCAGGAGGATGTGGAGCCCCCAGCCAGGTGTCTTCCCAACAGGGATCACCAGCACCACGGATCACTGGGGCTCTGCCCACCGGGGTCACTGGGGATCATCCAGTGCGGATCCTCCCGTGGGGATGGAGCTGGAGCAGCGCACGGAGCTCTTCCCACACTGGGGGCACTGGCAGGGCTTCCCTCAGTGCTGGCTGCGTTGGTGTTGGGTCAAGGCTGACCTCTGGGAGAAGCTCTTCCCACACCTGGTACGCTTGTAGGGGCTGTGACATCCCAGGAACAGGGCTGGGATGGGCTCTGGTGCCTGGGACATCCCCAGCAGCAGCGGGGCTGGGATGGGCTCTGGTGCCTGGGACATCCCCAGCAGCAGCGGGGCTGGGATGGGCTCTGGTGCCTGGGACATCCCCAGCAGCAGCAGGGCTGGGATGGGGTCTGGTGCCTGGGACATCCCCAGCAGCAGCGGGGCTGGGATGGGCTCTGGTGCCTGGGACATCCCCAGCAGCAGCAGGGCTGGGATGGGCTCTGGTGCCTGGGACATCCCCAGCAGCAGCAGGGCTGGGATGGGCTCTGGTGCCTGGGACATCCCCAGCAGCAGCAGGGCTGGCTGTGATGCTCTCCAGTGCCTGGGCCATGCCCAGGGGTGCTGCTGGCTGGGGTTGGGTTGGTGCCTGTGCAGTGACCAGGGCAGGGTCACAGCGGGGCAGCTCTCAGTGTCCCCAGCAGGCCACGCTGTCCAGGGCAGCCGTGCCAGCGCTCACTGCGCACTCGGGGCAGGCTGGGCTGGACGGGGCTCGGGGCACAAACGCCGCCCCCGGGGCTGGGCTCTGCCCCTGCCTCTGGGGCCCAGCCCCTGCTGGCAGCGCCTTGGGCAGGGCACGGGGCTGCTGCTGGCCCAGGGGGACAGGCCTTGCCCCCTGCCAGCTGCCCGGGCCCCTCGGGTGCCTGTGCCACAGCCCTGTGCCTCCTGTCCCCGCTACTCCCCGCCACCCCCACTCCCTCCATCAAAGCCCCACTCAACCTCTGCACTGTGACCTCTGGAAAGAACAAAAGAATAGGAAAGAAAGAATGAGAGAGGGAAAGGAAAAAGGAAAGGAAAGGAAAGGAAAGGAAAGGAAAGGAAAGGAAAGGAAAGGAAAGGAAAGGAAAGGAAAGGAAAGGAAAGGAAAGGAAAGGAAAAAGAGTAAAAAGAAACGAGAAACATGTAGCCATTTGGCCCTGCCTGGATGCCAGGCACCCACCAAAGCTGCTCTCTCACTCCCCTCCAGAGATGGACAGGAGAAAAAACAGAATGAAGGCTTCATGGCTTGAGTTAAGGACTGGGACAGATCATTCAGCAAATGCCATCATAGGCAAAACATTTTTGAAATTACAGGTATTAATTGAATTTCTTTCTATCCAGATCAGGGCAGGATAGTGAGAAGTAAAATAAAGCTTCACAAACACCTTCTGCCTGTTCCTCCCTCCTTCCCAGCTCTGCTCCTCCCCCAGTGGTGCAGGCAGACAGGCACTGGGGGCTCTGCTCCGTTCATCACCCGTTGTTTCTCTGCTGCTCGGGGAGAGGAGTCGTTCCCCTGCCGTGCCAGGGGTCCCTCCTGAGACACTTCTCCATGAACTTCTGCAGGGTGAGTTCATCTCACGGACAGCAGCTCTTCACAAACTGCTGCAGCTGCCTCACTCTCCCATGGGCTCACAAGTCCTGCCAGGACCCTGCTCCAGCGTGGGCTCCTCTCTCCACGGCTTTGCAGGTCCCTGCTGGGTCCCTGCTCCAGCACAGGTTTCTCATGGGGTCCCAGCCCCTGCTCAGGCACCCCCTGCTCCAGCACGGGCTCCTCCAGGCGCTGCAGGTGCATCTCTGCTCTCCGGGCCCTCCATGGGCTGCAGGGGCCCAGCTGCCTCCCCAGGGGCTGCCCAGGGAATCTCAGGGCAATCAGCTCCAGCCCCTGGAGCAGCTCCTGCCCCTCCTCCTGCCCTGCCCTGGGGTGTGCAGAGTTGTTCCTCTCACGTGTTCTCACCCTGCTCTTCCCTGCTCACAGTTACACCTACACCATCACCCATTTTCCTAAATCTCTTGCCCCAAAGGTGTTACCACCATTTCCAACTGGCCCAGCCTTGGCCAGCGGCCGGTGCATCCTGGAGCTGGCTGGAATTGACTCTGTGGGACACAGAGGAGCAGCTGCTTCCAGCAGCCTCTCACAGAAGGTGCTCCTCGAGCTCCCCTTACCAAAACCTGGCCATGCAAACCAAGTATAAGCATGGCAGGGTTTTTATTACCATTATTAATTCTTTTTGCTATTGTCACTATTATTGCCCCTGTGATGTCACACTTTCCCTGTGATGTCACGCTGCCCCTGTGATGTCACAGAGCCAACTCTATGTCACCTTGTGATGTCATACAGCAGTGCTGTGAAATCACAGAAGACTGATATCCCAAAGTCACCCTGTCATGTCACAATCTGTTTTGTGACGTCACAGCCTGCTCTATGATGTCACACAGCCACCAGGTGATGTCACAACCCACCCTCTCATGACACACAGCCACCCTCTGTGATGGCAGACTCTGCTCTATGGCCTCATAATATGCTCTGTGATGTCACAGCCAGTTATGTGATGTCACAGCCAGTTCTGTGATGTCACCATCCCCTCAGTGATGTCACAAAACACTCACAAACTCAGTTCTATTGAAAAACTGAAGTTTCTTGTACTTTGAAGAGATCCCTGTCAGGGACACAGCTGAGAAAGTGTCCCCAGGTTCCAGCTAGAGCAGAACACTGCAGGCAGTGATGCCAGGTGGGCACAAGCAAGGCAAAGGTGTCTCTGGTGCTGAGCACACCTGGATGTGTTTGAGGAATGCAAAGGGCCAAGGCCTGAGCCCCAGGGCCTGGCCAGGCAGATCCTGTCCCTCCCTCCTTGCTCAGGGCTCTTCCCGGGATGGGCACTGGCATGTGGGGATGTGCAATGCCAGGGGCAGGAGCGTGGGGCGGCCCCTGCCAGGCTGCTGAGCAGGGACAAGGAGGCCATGAGGCCCCAGGCCTGCAAGGGTCACTTGTCCCCTCCTGGCCCCAGGCCCAGCAGCCATGGCCAAAGTGCTGCCCAAGCTGGCTCTGGCAGGGCTGTCTTGCAGCTGCTGCCCATCCCTGTGCCCTGTGCAGCCCAGGCTGTCCCACGGTGTCCCTGCCCTGCGCCTCTGTCCCTGCAGGCTGTGGGCATCCCCCGGCTGCCCCACCTGGCTGGGCCCTTCCTTTGCTGACAGCTCTGCCTGGCCACTGCATGGTGTTTGCAGGGATTGAGCAATTAGGGCAAAGCTGTATCGCACTGTCTGTAAGGGGAGGAGTTCCTTAATAAGTACAGTAGGATATGATATAATATAGTAGAATAAAGCCATGGATCAGCCTTCTGCAATCATGGAGA